TCCAGAAGACCTATACAATTTTTTTCCTTTTGATTTTTTACCTGGATTACTGAGATGCATCTGATTAAACCTGTTTTCCACATCTTATAACTGAGAATAACAGTCAGGTGGGGAGGAGGACAGCTGTAATCTCTGTCTTCAGTYCATCTCAGACCTCTAGTGGAAACTCTGAACCACTGAAGAGTCCTCTGGAGCAGTCTGAACTTTTCCTGAGAGTTAGAGGATGAGGAGAAGAGAGATGATTCTTAGACTTAAGAATTTTGATAACTGGCACTTACRCTTAAGTCTGAGAGTAGGAGCAAATCTAAGACATTTTCAGCACTTAAATCTAAAAATGGACTCAAGAAGTTTAATAAATACGGGTCCAGACCTAAACAGTAACAAAGTCACAAATAAATAATAAAGAAGTGCTTCAGTCTTTTGACTTGTTTTACTTTAACTGTTGTCTCTCCTGCTGGTTTTGCTGGTGCATATCAAAGAAGAAAAATGTTATTATTAATGTCTCACTAGTCTGCATGTGCATTTTTTTTGTCTCCTGCAATCACTTGTAGTTAGATTTCATTGTTTATGGCTATTTGGTCTTTATGATTTATATTTGAATTAGTAACAAAGATTATTTTTAAAATTTCTTTTCTCAGGTGAACAATTTGAAAAAAATCCTTCAGATGGTGGTTGACTTTTACAATGAGGTATGAAATACACTTTCATTATAACAGAGAAACATGCTTTCTGCTCCTTTAGGGATTTGTATTGTCACCATTTGTTCAAAGCAAAGCCTCAAAGACTTGCCTGAGTGTAAATGGAGTGCTCAGCTGCTATCAGATTGCACTTTGCAGCTAAAATCTTATTCACAATGCATTTTAAATACTATAAACTCTAGTTCTAAAGTTATGTAATCATGGTAATACAGTATGTAGGGATCATCATACAGGGAGTTTTATGTTACTCATCAAGTCTTTTTTACTTGTTTTATTTATGCTTGTGTGCTTTTAGGTTTTAGCTCAGGAAATCTCAGGCTTTCCTTTGCCAGATGTGTCCTTGGTGGCAGAGCATGCAGATCCTGTGGAGCTGGGACGGTTGCTGCAGCTCATACTGGGCTGCGCTGTTAGATGTGAGCGCAAACAAGGTAGGRCACTGTTTGGTGGGAATTTGATACACATATGACAACCCAAAGGCTCAGTAGCTGCGTTTCCATTGCAAGTATGTGCAAAACTTTGTCGATATTCTGTTAATGTCAAAAAAACACAGTTTCGCAACTGCGGTGTTTCCATTAAGTAAGAAATGT